TTGGGAGACAAATGAAAAGAACTGGGAGACAAATAAAAGGAAGTGGGAGACAAGCCGGCCGGACCCGACCAGACCATCCAGCACCAAGGTGACCATTCTTTAAAGCATTGAGAACCCCTAACAGTAAACTGTTTGGGGAATAAAATCCCAGGTCGCCATTTCTGGAAAATCGTAGCGTCCAGATTGGTAGGGATTGAACATGGTGATCCCAAAATGCAGAAGAACCGATGTTTCAGCCCTCTTGCTGAGCTGTTCCTGGGTGCCACGGCCAAGGTGGCTCCCCCTGAGTTGGAATCAAACGTGCCGGGCACGTTGAAAGTCCGATTGGAGTCGGAGCGCGAGGCTGGCGCAGTGAGGAGTGGGGGCAGGGGTTGTTCGGAGCGATCCTTCGGTGGGCCATGAGTTATGGCTGGCGAGAGGGAGCCTACCTCAACACACGGTGAGTTTTCAAGTTTGGGTTGCACGGTTTCACTCCTTTTTGGTATCAGGACTAGTCCAGATTCATGCATTGTACATATTTTTTTAAAGGTTCAATTAAGGTTGAATGTGTTGGTTGGTTTCGTTTTTTGCCTGTTCAGTGGTGCATCAGTGCCTCAATTGGGACTCCAAGACATCCAAGTGCGAAGTGCGAAGATGGAATTCAAGGCCTTCCTGGCGGAAATGGGGCAGAAACCTTCGCCAGAGCCAAACACAAAGGCAAACAATAAGATTCAAGACTACGTGTGGATGTGCAACTTCAGGGCCAGGAGTGGCATGTGAATTCTTTTTTGATGCCCAATCAGCTGACATGGCATTCTGCAAGGCTGCCCATCACGAAGAATATGCACACCTTTTGCTTAGCCGGTCAGCTCCGAAGAGAGTTGGTTCCTTGAAGGTGTTGAGGGAGCTGCTCCTGAAGCTGAATGGGTTGATGCAATCTTCCACGAATGATGTTTGCACAAGAAGTGGGGCCCCGGATTCTTCAATCAGAGTCTCTCACCTCAATGGTCAAAGGATTTGGGTTTCAAACTGTTTAAAATATGGTCAGTAGCTTGTACAATTATCCTGGAGTAGATAGGCATGAATAAGCACGGATTGTGTCCTAGTTTTGTTTGCGGGACAGGTGAGGAGCAGTCTTCGAGTGGTTTCCCTAATGACAGACGAGTGAGTGAGCCAATCAGAGCGTGTTGATTGTCACACACAGCATTGAGGAGATTGTGAGGCCACAGTCATACGAATTACTTCATAGACAGCCTTGGGATCCCTCTCCAGCTAGAATATCTAAAATGTGTCCACGTATAGCGTTCGTTTACTTCAAAGACTTGATGTACAGCCCATCACTGTCACAGTTGCCCCTTGAGAGGTTGCCGTCCGGCCGCCCAACTTGGACCTGCTGGAAGGCGGGAGTGACGAGGTGTTTCCATATAAAGCTGAGGAGCCGTGTAAAGTGTCGGGCTGGTCATGGTCTAACTCGCTGCCTTTGGACCAAGGGAACTCACAAGTCTAATGACATACTCCTCTCTATTTGTCACAAAGGTCATTTATTTGACCCAACTCAGTTGAAGCTGTATGTACCATTTAAGGTTGCCAGGGCGGCAACTCGGCAAACATCCTGATTTGCACCCGCTCTGGATCGACACCTGGCATAAAAGTGCGACTCATCGTGCAAACTACAAAGATGGTCGCAATCAACCGTATGTTGTGGACGCGAGCCAGCCAACCCAGGAATTCAAGCTGGCATTGACAAACATGCCACTGTTAAGCTTTTGAATTCCAAAGAGTTGGTGCCATTTGATAAAGGCATTCTTCGTGCAATTCTTTCTGACGGCATAGTCACACAACGGTTCTTCTTCTCCTCCAAACAGGTGCCTCATCCTGTTTGCCCATACTGCTGGAATGCAGTGGAAACGCTGGAACACCTTGTTTGGCATTGCCCTCACTGGAGGGATGTTCGACTATCCATTCTTTCCGACCAACAGATCAACAACAACAGCATTTTGTTTATTCACATAGCCAAGCCTCTGGCCGTATCAATTGGCTGAAGCTGCAAGGAGACTTGCTCTGCAGTCAGCAGACACGTCCCGCCGCTCCCTGGTATCAAGGGAGAGGCCAAACTTGAGCTCAATAGCCTGTGGACGGCGTGGACCCGAAACGCCAACCCAAAGAGGAAGGTCCCCCTGAAAGACCATCTCCCTGGAGGGAGCAGATTGGTCAATTCGTGGCCACCAAAATTGCGCATGCCTGTGCCTCGCACCCGGAGCTTGCCGATACTGCCAGGTCCTGTCCAATCTACACAAATATTTGGAGGCAGTTAATCACGGGGCTGGCCATGTAGCATTTCTATTCATTTGTCTCCCAG